AATATCAAATATCAAAACAAAATCAGAAAATCTAAATTTTTCGTGAATCGTGATTATAAGTTTTACGTCACTGTAATATTCTTAAACATCTTATGGACCAAAGGGGGCCCAGGCTAGGTTATCACGAATGGATAATAATATAATAATATGTAATGACCAAAATAATTGTATACATTTTATCATATTGTATTAGTCATTAATAAATAATTGTACCGATATTAATATTAAAATAATAATAGTTACCTACTGAATTTTACGCAGTCATACCTGTAATAGAAACCAACACCGAATTWACAAACGCATTTTAGTGTAAAAGTGGTCGGTGTATGAAACATGTTTAAAATATTGTTTTAAATTATCGAACATTCACAGGTTATAACCTGTAAGTTATGACAATAGGTTGCGAAGTTACATAACAACGTTATTATACCTATTGTAAACACTAAGTTACTAAATATTGTTAAATGCGCATATGTTCGTTTTTGAATTAGCACTTATATATTATAAATAAGACTTAAGCAAACATCTAACAATTACGAATAAATAGTTGAAACTTCCACATATTATATACCATTATAATATTCATGTTTTTTTTTTTAAGACAAACCGTGGGCATACACAATAATGTGCAGAAATTATTATAAGTTGAAATAATATGACGTATTCTAACTATTATATAATATGTGTGGCGAATGCCGAGTTTAATATATTTAAGGTGTTATCTTATCAAACTCGCTGTACCTTATCCTTATATAGTTATATTATGTTGTTATTGTAAGTTATACATAACTAGTAATTATTTCAATGTAACGATGCATTTTTTAATGCGACTTATAACAAAGACAATTTTTTTTTTGTATTCATTCCACTGCAGAAGGACTTGGGTAATTGAGTTGAACCAGTTGCAGTACAAAACAGCAAAATAAAGCATTTTAAATATACCAGACGAATGCAACAAATTATTTTGTAACTTGCACTAATATTACTAGTTTCGTATTTATTGTAGCTTAGATAATTTTGAAATCACATATATAGTCCAATAATCAGAGAATTTATATAAAAATATATTAATATAATTTTCAKCTGTTGATCATCCATCTTGCTTTGATCCCTCTCGGCCAAGGTGTTGAAAAAGCATTTGAAAATCTTGCTGAAAATGCAATTGACTAAGTATCAATATTATATGTATTTTTAAAATTAATTCGTGTTGACCTTTTTATAATTTTCACTACTCAAGTAACATAAATTTGCATTGTCATTTTTTTTATCGTATTCGATAACTATATAGCTCTTCATGTACCGCGATACTGCTAATCAAAGCGGTGTCGCGTCAAAATGTCGCAGTAAAAATGTCGTGGTAAAAATATCGCAACAAAAACGTCGTGATAAAAATGTCGCCAAAACAAAAATGTCGCAGGTAGTAATTATCGCCGAAGTCGCCGATGTGGCTCGTAGTTCCGGTTTTCGTTCAGTCGTAGACAAAGTTAGATTAGATTAAATACCTACGAAAATAAAGTTCAGTATACATATTAGTGTGTAGTGTGATGTATTATGTGATGATTCTGAAAATCGATCAATTAACGACTACCTGCGTGGAATTTCGTATAACTTCCAATATCAATTAACATAAAAATATAATTTATTATTTTGTACATTATACAATTATTCGATATATAGATATATTTATTTTTTGACACAATTTTATCGGCTGAAATACCAGATATCTTATATTCTTATCGTAATATCATTGTAACTAATTTTAAAATATTAATATAAAATATAAATGCGATAACGATTAACGAACACTGCGTAGAAACACAGACACACAGAGATATGGTTATACCACCAGCCATCGCTTACATTGAGTTACATTATTA